TTTCCCCTCTGTCCCCCCTGTGCTCTCCCAGGGTACGCACAGGAGCAAGAGCCGTCCCTCCCAGGTGAGCCGTGACTCTATCTCGTGCCCTGCCCCGCTCCAGTTGGTCGGTGCCTGCCTCAGCCCCACTCTCTTCCTCATCACAGGGGCCTTGATCTGCACCCCACCCCCCACATCCCTTCCCTCCTCACTCCCCTTTCACCACAACAGACTTACCAGCTGCATGCAGCTGTATTGGAAATTGGATTGGTATTGGCCGATATGCCTCTTTAAAAATTGGCTGTTATCGGCCCCCAAAATCTCTATCAGTGTGCCCCTATTTAAAACAGTTTTAAAATGTGCCTTGCTTGTGGGGTTATTTTTTGTAAAGCTTGACTGAGAGGTCAAGCTAAATCTTAAAGAAACCCCTTTGAGAACTTTGTAGTCCTGGCTCACTGGCTGCCTACTTGCATATGATCAGTGAGGGTGAATCCTGGTGGATGATGCAGGCTGGCTTGAATAATGGCAGTGTACATGTTTCTGTTGGTAACCTGAATAAGAGAGAGAGAATTTAGTGGAAAGCATTGCTTATTCCTTGAAAATAGGTAATTGACCTTAGCAGGGTGTTTCATTCACATTTTATAGTTTTCCTGGGTGCCTAGTACTCTTTCTGATCCAGCCACTTCTTTGAAACCCTGTTCATTGAAACCCAGAAGTTTCCTATAGACCTGGATCCTTCTACTCCTTAGTGGAAGAGGGCCAGCATTGAGGAGATTGTCTCACCTCAGTCTTCTTGATAAGATCAAGGGTAGGTATAACAAAATGCACCAGTATTATGTATTTGTGCTCTGGAGTACAGACAAATACGGGAGGACTAAGCAGCAAGTAAGATGATGAGCATTTTATTTTTCTGAACTGGAAACAAAGCATGAGATCAAACAGCAAGACTGAATACAAGAAATGTAATGTTTTAAATCTTTTTAAAAGTGAGCTTTTTTAAAAAAATGAGATCTTTTCAATTTCATGTTGTGGATCTGTTTTTTGTCATCCAAGAAATAGTTGGATCGTAAAGGGCAGTTCTCTATTCTAAAAACTAAAAGAAATAGCAGGGGACAACACAGTTCTGAATCTGTTTTCAATTAACCAGCTCAAAGAAAATTACAGTATATCTAAAACTTGAAGATTAGCCCCCAAACAAATACTTTACGGTGCAAGGGGAAGTTACACAAATGCTTTACCACATTGGGATGTAACATTTTCACAAGCTTGTTGAAATGAGAAATCTATATATGGGCTATGGGCCCCATTTGGAAACGGAAGAGGAGATATTGGAAAATAATACTGGGATCTTCAGGGCTAAATGCTATATCAGAAATACAGTTCTCCCCCCGAATGTATGGGTGGTGAAAGAACACCCCAGAAAGAATGTATAGGAAACAAAAACATAGCAAATTTGTCTGTCTGTTTATGGCAGTTGGGGTGGCGGCAGGAATAGACCTATGATGGTTATTGAGGAGCTTTAAATAAGGGAGGCTAAGTATAAGAGGAAGAATACTTTATAAAAAGCAAAAGGATGGTAACATTGAATCAGCAAATTTCAGAGGGATGTTTTATACTGTAGAAAAACTGGTTGCTACAGCTGTCCTGGGCTGCTGAGAGCAGATTTTTCATGTCATTGATAAAATACAAATACTGAAACCCATAATGAATGCACCTGATTTATTTAAAACTTAGTTGCATTAACCTCAGGTTAACTATGTAAATGCTTTTGCGCATACAACACTTGGTGAGAGATCCTAATTGTGACAAAAAGTCATAGTTAGGAGTCATATGTTATTACTTTATTTTTAAAGTTAGAAATCACTTTTCAGACTATTTTGCCTGCTTCTACCACTCACAGGCCATAGAATTTTGCCAAATGATGTAATGAGCTTTATGCAGGCTTCTGGTTGATCGCTACAATGACTGGGTGTAATTTAGAAAAACTGACTGCTTTGGCATCAACAAAATATTTGCAGAGTTGAAGAATCCAAGTGGCTTGGGTATGCTAGCAGTCAGGTGGTAAATATTGCAATCGTGTTTTGTTCCAGTGCTTCTGTGCCTCAACCCACCATTTCCTTGAATTGGTAACACTGGTTTTAGCAGTGAAGTTGCTGAAGTGCATTTCTTGGCAGGAAAAGTTCTTTTAGGTAGATGTGAAATATTTTATTAGACCAACAGAGTAGTTGGAAAAAGGGTCTTTGCAAGAGTTTGGGTGCAATCACCCTTCTTCACAGGCCGATGAAGAAGGGTGATTGCGCCCAAAAGCTTGGAAATAACTTCTTTCCAACTACTTTGTTGGTGTAATAAAAGATATGCAGGCAAGGTTCTTTGGTAGATGTTGTATGTCGTTAGACCAACACAGCTACAACTAAAAACCCACCTTTCTTGGCTTAGGTTTTTGTGGGATAAATTTCATTCGCATTTCAATAAGGTATTCAACTAGACTACCGTACTATAAATAGACAAAGTGCATACAAAAAACTACAAAGTACTGTTGATGGAAGGCAAATATTAATGGTGAGATGTGTGGGAGAAAAATCAAGTATGGGTCACTGCTAAGACTTGTTATATAATTTCCAGGAGACAGAGAAAATACCCTGCTCACCCAAATCTGGACACAAAAAGATCCACAGTTGTAAAGGGATCTGGAGAACCTGGAAGATTAACAAAAAAATTGGTCCAAAAAGTAGCAAACCCTGTGCCCAGTTAGAGAAAATGGGTCTCTAAAGCGGAAGCACTCATTTGGAAAACAGGTGCTTTGAAACCTGTCTAGGGCCATGCTAAATATCATTCATGGTATGATGTTGCTGCTGAAGAAGTGCTAGAGCATGTATGTTTGTGAAGTGAATGTTACAGTAGTAAGGTAATAGAGAGCCAAGGATTTGCATGGGTGATTATCTTTTTTTGGATCAACTGCATGGTTGGGATAGACTTAGACAAGCTCCTGAATGCAGTGCATAGTTCAGGTGGATCACTCCAGTACTACCAGAGTAATCCTGATCTGTGCAGTGTAGAAGAATATAAGAACTAGAAAAATTATAAGGAAGCATAAGATAGTAAAATGCTTACTAAACAGTTGGATAATGGACCAGACTTCCAAAGGCAGAAAGAGAGAAGAGCTTCAAGTTCAGGTTAAGTAAGATCTTAGTGGTAATGATGTGGTGAGCAGAACAGCAAGCTGTATGGCATTGTGTACATGACCAGGTCTTAATTCTAAACCCTACAGTGTCATTTTTGTGGAAATTTCCTTAAAATGTTTGAATGGAAAGCTTAATTGATGTATACTTGAGTATCTTTCTAGAGTTGCTAAAGAGCTACTTAAAACATTACTTTGTGCTTTCCAACAAAATGGAAGAAGTCTGAAATGCACCCTCAGAGTGGTCTTAGGGAATACTGATCTTTGTGTAAAGCAGGGAAATACAGGTAGGAAAGATGGGGGTGTGGGACTCATGCTCATGTATTTATTGATGCAAAGCAGAGTGCCAAATTCATACTCTGCTGATTTCAGAAGAGGGGGTCTGGGCTAGTGTGGGTCTTGGAGTAGGGTGCTGTGGAGCTAACTAGCATGGTTTTCAGGTGCTGGTTAGTTTGTGTGATACTGTGGGCACTGTTAGCTGTCTTGTTTGACTGAGAGAAACTTTCTGGGTTGTTTCTGTGTGGTCTGTTCTGTACAATGTTACTGGGCTGACATTCAGTGTTTATGATTTTCAGTTGAAAATGAGAGCAGGAGGAATGAGTGATTCATCGAAATGGAAAAAGCAGAAGAGATCACCAAGGCCTCCTCGCCATGTAACCAAGGTCTTTCCAGGAACAGAACCACCAACCACCAATGGTAGTAACATCACAGGTAGGTAGGATCCTGTTTTCAAAGGACAGACCTTGTCCATCTTGTGCGTGGTTGCTTTTTTTCATTTTTCTCGCTTGTGTTTTCTGTAGTAAATATTGATGTTAGCAACACAGATACTACTGCTCTGTAAGTCCAGAAGGAAGTGGGTGAGGAGAAGGGAATACTTGTTGACCTGAGCAAAGCAAGGTCCTACAGTAGTGTAACAAAGTTTGGGTGAGCGGGACATAAGCCCTGGGCACTACCTCAAGATGGCCACCAGAATGGAGCTGGCATGGCCCCCCTTACCTTATCTGCTTCCCTTACCTCTGTCATCCTCCCTCCCATCCCCACCGTGTGTGCCTTTTCTGCAGCAGCAGTGGCGCATGGTATAAGAGCAGCAGCCAGAGGTTCACTGCTATATGGGAGATGTCACCTCCTGTTTTTGCTGCTGAAAATTGGTGGGTTTTTTGGCCACTTGACATCCATGTTGGTGCCAAAAAAAAGGAAGTGACATCCCCCCTGGTCCTGCAGCAGCAAAACCAGCTCCTGTGCACCACTGTCACCCAGAGCATGGTACTAGCTATTTACGCCTCTGCCTTACTGTCATTTCAATAGCTTTACGCTATTTGGCTGCCTGTTTTCAATAGATCTTCCAGGGATGGCTTGTAGAGAGGCAATTGGGGATCTAATGTGGTGTGTGAGTCAAATGGGTGGAAAAAGCAGCAGGGCACCATGGATGGGGCAGTGGTAATGGGTAAAATGGGAAGGAAATGGAAAAGAGGAAGCAGGGACTGGGGATGTGACATGGTTGCCTGCATGAGCATGGAACTGGACTCAACCTAAGAGGTTTCTTTTAGTCCTTTTTTATGATAGTCTATCAGGCAATGGTTGGTGGAGGTAGTAGTAATAAGGGATGTGGAAGGCTGGGACCGAGTGGGTTGGTGTGAAAACAGAGATATTGAATGGGGAAATGGAGATGGAAAGGGAAATGCAGGAAATGAGGAAACGGACACATCAAGGATCAAATACTGGGCATGTAGGCCATAAGTAAGTGGGTCTGTGACCATGCAGTGTCCCTGTTGTTGGGTTAGGGAGCAATGGAGATACTGCTAGTGGCTAATGGAGTAGGGCAAAGGGCCTATGAGGGATGTAGGCAGATTTTGGCATGTGGGAGGAGATGAAGGGGTGGTAGAGAATATTTGAAGGACGGATGTGAGAGTTGCGCGTAGGGAGCTAACTGGAGGAATGGAGGGAGCTCCTGGTGTATGCTGTGTGCCCAGCCGTCGGAAGCTACCACTGTGTGTGTAATGTTTTAGTGCTGTGATACCTAGATAACAGCTTCTAGTAGAGCTGGAGAAGTAGAAGAGCCCATAGGTATACAAAAATAGACTGCATGGTTACCGTTTGTTACCTTCATTTTGGGTACATCAGTTATGTTGGTGTGGAGTATGCTTTTTTTCTTGTAGATGCTTTACATTTTGATGGGACAGACAGAAACAATACCAACAGAAGATACTGGACAGGAAGGTTGCTATACTAGCTGTGTGCTGTACACATTTTTAATGAATATTATGAGCAAAAGAAAGATATCTGGTTTAGAGTTGAGGATGTCCTGGTGTTTTCTCATACCAGTGCCAAGGAAATAAGAAGTTAAAATATATCGCATCCAATATACAAATATCCAGATCTTATCCTGCTCCCAGCATGATGCTTGCTATATCAACCTTCTAACATTGCTTTTCAGTTCAGTGCTATAACCCTATGTGCATGTGTATGCACACACTTTAAATTGCATTGCTTTCTGACATGTACGAGATGGGGGAAATGCAGAATTAATTGCATGTTCAGTTGCTTTTCTTACAAAACTTGCCTTTTGGCTTCCAGAAAGTTTTATTAGTTCTGTAATACACAGCACTAAACAGAGCAATAGTTAATGTGTGAATTCATAATGTGTCCTCAATATAATTTTTTTTCCCCTAGGTAGTAGCTTCATCTTTACAAGGTTTTCTTAACTGTGTGGTCTACAAATGTATAGGTTCTCTTAAATGAAAGTTTAGATTCTGGAGCGTCTAACAATAAGAGATGATGAAAGTGTCCATGAATCCTTTCCATGTTCATTTGTCTTCTGCCAAAACTCATTTTGGTTAGGAGAAAATACAAGAATAATTCTATTTATTTCCCCTTTCTCCTTGAAGTAATTCCTCTTTCAAAATTTTTGATTAAATATTTATTGAAGAAATTTCCTTAAATGTGGTTGTTCTTTCAGGTGTGTATTCAAGTTTATCACAGCATTTCATCAAAGTGTTAAATGAGGGGGTTTAGTCCTGCTTTAAATGAAAATCTCAATACAGGCTTAACTGTTGCACCATTACAGACTCTACCACGATCCAAAAATGTAGACATCTTTTACTTTATGCACAGTGAGGATTTATCAAGATCCAAGTGAAACAGACATTTTTTTCTCAAATCCATGTTTTAAGACATGGATAAGATGCTTTGAACATGCAGCAAGGGTCTTGAAGTGACCACCCAACATCCAGCCTGGTAGGGCAGTGTTGTGGTTACAGTTGCCTCATATGTAATCACTCTTATCTTGGGGTCAAAAAAACCTGTGCAAAAAAAAAAGCAGGGTGGTGCACATGGGGATAGTGCACGTGGCCCAAAACTGGAGCCTGGCCAGCTGGAGCCACATTTGAGCTACCAGCTGGGCTCTGAGTTGCAGGATTGCTGCTGCTGTAGCCCCAGGAGGCTCCCGGGACCCAAGGTAAGGCTGCTGGGGCCAGCCAGCCCAGGGCTGGCCCCAGCCTCCCCTACCCTATCTGGGGTAACTGGCCACACATCAGGGGGCGTGTGGCACAGGTGTTCCCTGGGGACAAGTAGTAGTGGCACAAGATGTCCCACTGCTAGTTGTCCCCAGGGAAACAAACATCCACACTTGTGTGGATGTGGCCCATGAGTTTTGTAGTGGTTGATAAACTGCAGTATTAGATCTGTTGTCATAGATGTTGGTTTTCGAGTGTACAGGCTATCTACAAGGGTGGTATAGGTTGTAACCATGTTGGTCTAAGGAGACTAAGGTCTAAGGCAGACAAGTTTATTTCAGTAAATCTGATATCTTTTATTAGACCAACAGGCTATCTGCATCAAATTTATTTCACCCCCCAAATGAACAGCCCTGAATACAGCCCTGAGAAAAGTGGAGGCACTGCTTTTCTACTTGCTTCCACTTCTTAGCTGTTGCACAAGAACTGCTGCTTTTAATCTGTACCAACCATTGCCTACCCAGTCTGATGATGAGGAGAATATTTTATCAGATGATGTGTAACTTCATATGTTTATAGAAACATGTAATCAAGAAGCTACTTAGTTTTCTCACAATGCAAATGTACCTCATTAAAGTTGGAGATGTTTGCAGGATCTTATAGAACCTGTGGAGCAAGATGAAAATTAATTCTTCCTTTGATCCTGCTATCTGTTTCATCTGCTCCTTGTCCTGATTCTGTTGTCCAGGCTTTTTGCCATCCTTGTATCGTGTCCCTCAGGGAGCAGGCAAGAGAGCTACAGGAGGATGTAGCAAGGCTCCAAAGCATTGTCTGCCATGAGGATATCATAGAGTCCATGCTGGAAGAAATCTCTAGGACTGTGGAGGACTGCCAGAGGAGGTGCTAGAAAAGGAAGAGGGCATGGACTCCCAGGAAGGTGGAAGCTGGAAGCTTGTGACTTCTGGCAGCATGGAGAAGTTGTCATCCCCACCATATCTGTTCTCCAGGCAAACTGCTGCAGGAGCTCTAGCAACAGAGGAGGAGAAGTGAATTCCATTGGTGTAAGAGGCCAGGCTGCAGACTTCCTTTTGTGGGGGACAGAGGGATCCATCTGCTGGCCTGACCTGATGACCCAGGAAGACTGCTGCTTGCCTGGAGCCCACGTCTGAGATATCACAGAAAGTTTACTGAGACTCATCCAAACATATGACTACTACCCCATGCTGCTCATCCATGTGGGCACCAACAGTACTGCCAAGGGTGACCCTGAGCAGATCAAGAGCTAGCTACAGGGTTCTGGGTGCAAGGGTGAAGGGAATGGGGGTGCGCAGGTGATATTCTTGATCTTTCCGGTTAAGGGGAAAGGGCTGGGCAGGAGTGGGTATGTCCTGCAGATCAATGCATGGCTGCATAGGTGGTGTTGCCAGCAGGGGTTCAGTTTCTTTGAACATGGAGCAAGGATTTTGATACAGCCTCCCACAACATTCTTGCAAGCAAGCTAAGGAAGTAGGGGTCGGATGAATGGACTGAAAGATGGAGAGAAAACTGGCTGGATCATTGGGCTTAACGGGTAGTAATCAATGGCTTGATGTCTAGTTGGCAGCTGGTATCAAGTGGAATGCCCCAGGGCTCAGTCCTGGGGCCAGTTTTGTTCAATATCTTTATTAACAAGCTGGAAGATGGGATGGAATGCACCCTCAGCACGCTCACGGATGACACCAAGCTGGGGGAAGTAGTAGATATGCTGGAGGATACGGCTAGGATGCAGTGTGACCTAGACAAATTGGATGATTGAACCAAAAGAAATCTCACAAGATTTGTTAAGGAAAAGTGCAATGTCCTGCACTGTGGATGGAACAATCTAATGCACTGCTACAGGGTTGGGTCCAACTGGCTAAGCAGCTCTGCAGAAAAGGACTTGGGGGTTACAGTGGACAATAAGTTGGATACAAGTCAACAGTGTGCCCTTGTTGCCAAGAAACCTAACAGCATACTGATTGCATTAGTAGGAGCGCTGCCAGCAGATCAAGGGAAGTAATTATTCTGCTCTGTTCTGCACTGGTGAGGCCACTTCTGGAGTACTGTCTAGTTTTGGGCCCCCCACTACAGAAAGAATGTGGACAATTTGTAGAGGGTCCAGCAGAGAACAACAAAAATGGTTAGGGGGGCTGGGGCACAATGCTTATGAGGAGAGGTTGAGGAAACTGGGTTTATTTAGTTTGGAGAAGAAAAGACAGAGGGGATTTGATAGCAGCCTTTAACTATCTGAAGGGTGGTTCTAAAGAGGATGGAGCTGGACTGTTCTCAACGGTGGCAGATGACAGAACAAGGAGCAGTGGTCTGAAGTTGTAGCAAGGGAAGTTTATGTTGAATATTAGGAAAAACTTTCACTAGGAGGGTGGTGAAGCACTGGAACAAGTTATATGTGGTGGAATCTCCATCTTTGGAGGCTTTTAATGGCTGGCTTGACAAAGCCCTGGCTGGAATGATCTAGTTGGGGATGATTTTGCTTTGAGCAGAGGTTTGGACTAGATGACCTCCTGAGGTTCCTTCCAACCCTCATTTTCTATGATTATATGACTGCTGAAAATGGTGAGGATGTCCAGTGCTTCTCCAGGGTCTTCTGTTGCATGGCTAGTTAGCATATCTGTCTGCATAATCATATATATAATATGCATTTGATAAAATACTAATATACCATTCTTGTCTCCTTTTATAGTTCTCTAATTTTTAATTGTTCAGTCTTCTTTAGTACTGTCAACATTTCTTCTTCCTTTTGCTGGACAGGCCAGCAGATCCTTTCTTTATAGTTTACTGGTGTTGTAGAATACTTTGAAGAAGTTTTTCTGCTTGTGGTCAGTCATATTACTACATCTGAACCCTTTAAAATTGGATCTTCTCTTGATTTACCCCTTGTATTGTGACATGTTGTATTTGTCTCCACTGCCCTGGCTCTCTGCAAGGTTGTCTGTAACTACTTAAGATGTCTTAAGCAGGGGTTAGTAACTTATGGCCTATAGGCCAGATCCAGCCTGTGGAGCCATTTGATCTGGCCCATGAACATGAGGCAGCAGTGTTTGGCAGCCGGGCTTTTGTGGTGTTTGCTGTCTGTACTGCTGCAGGAGCTCTCCCTGTGTGGCGGTGGTGGGCAGTCAGTGGATCCTTGTGCCTGTTTGCCTTCCTGCCTGCCTCTGTCCCAGCCTGGTAATTCCAGTCTGAAACCTGAAAAGGTTGCTGACTACTGCTTTGAGGTAAAGGGAAAGGATTGTTTTCTGAAGTTCATGTAATCTCTGTTTCTTTGAATTTAGGTTTAGTGGAGAACTCTCCCACTGTTGAATTACTGTAATCATTCATTGACCTGAAGGGACTGGGGAGCAGAGAATTGCAATGTAAAGGATAAATTACCTAACCCATGGTGTATCTAAGATGTTTTTGTATGACTTCCATTCTGGTTCTCAGATCAACTGATGGCCATTATCACCTTTCCTTTCCCTACCACATGCTGCTAGGCAGCCATCTCCCAAACACTTTCTGTTTCTCAACTTACAGTGATATTCTTTGTCCTTTTCTAACTCCCCCAGATACCATACAGATATTCAGCAGTCTTGTCTGCTCTGTCCCATTTTTTCCTGATTCTGTCAGTCACTCCTGCCTGCTCTCTCCCCTTTTATCTAAGTATATAAATTCTCTCATGAATTAATTTTTCATCAAATCTCTGGATGTGTAAAATTCTGGCTACTGTGTGATAACAGGAACTGCTAATCTCTGTTTTCCTTTGATCTATTTGGCTTATTGATAGGAGGAAAACAGAACTTTCTTTTTCTGTATCTTTTGTCGTCTTAGTACACTCCAAGGAATTATGTGCAGACAAATTCAAAACTATGCAAAATTATTATTATTTTTTACATTTCATCTTATATCCTTAATATCTGTGCCAAAACCCCCTTCTGGGTGGGTGTAGGGTTTGTAGGTGAGTGTGGACCCACCTGCCATGCATGCCCCCTCCCTCCTATGGTGCACAGCCCCTGCTGCTGATGGCAGGAGCAGGCAACAGGCCCTCGGGGTGCTCATGGCCATGGCAGGCAGAGCTCCCTGGCAGTGTGTGGCTCTGGTTGAGCCTGGAGGCTGCACATGGTGGCATGGAGCCAGCCTGGCCTGGCCCACTGGAATGTACCTTCAGTTCAGACCAGGCTAACTTCATGCCAGCACATGGGGCTTACGGCACTGCAGGCAGGAGCCACACACCACTGCGCCAGGCAGCTCCATGCCTCCATGTGTGGTTTCCCGCTGGAATGCTGCTAGCCCTAGGTGGAGGCACAGAGCCCATCCAGCCCAATGGCACATGGCTGCCACCTGCAGTGCTGTGAGTTTCACATGCTGGCATAGAGCCAGCCCATTCTGTTGTAAAGGCCCAGGCCAGTGGGCTGGACATGGTGGCCAGCTCCCTGCCATCATGTGCAGCCCCCGGGACTCAGCCAGAGCTGTGCACTGCCAGGGGCTCTGTCTGCCACGGCCATGAGCACCTGAAAGGCCTGCTGCCTGTTGCTGCTGCAGCCAGTGGTGGCATGGGCTGTGCACCATGGGGGGTGGGGCATGGACATGTGGCAGGGGAGCCCACACACCACCACCCATCCCCTCCTATTGCAGGCAGGAGCTCCCCTCCCTACTCAACAGCTATCCAATCATGTGCCATCACACTGGGTGCCTCTGTGGCGGGTGCAGAGATCCCACCTCAGGAACACAGCTGGGTATTTGTATCCCTCTGCTGTTTCCACCACGTGAGGCGGGCCAGTAGGGGGTGCTCCTGCGTTGAGCCACCCACCTCCCTGCGCCCGACCACCTTCCAGGCTCCGAGTGCCTCCCTAGGGGCGCCTTATGTCCGGCCGACCCCTCTCCCGGAGCACACTCGCTAGTCTGGGGTAACGTGCCGCCACCACCCCAAGAATGGACTGTCACGCGGCCCTGTGTCCTTGGGGTAACACAGGCCTAAAGTCCCACGGGTACTCGACCCAGTACAGGCACTTGGGGTACTTCCCCAAGTCCGGGGGCAAAAAGGTATAGTCTCCCTTAGTCCACAGACCTAAGGGGTCTCTTAGGCATAATTTAGACCCACCCCTCAATAAGTCTCCCACACCAGTCAAAAAGGAGAACTTTATTGATTACAGGGGGTAGGGTAAACTAGGGTACAGGATAGAGCAATATCTAGAAATCCTAAAGAGCAAACAGTCTGGCTGTGGTAGCCTTTTGATTACGCATCTGTGATACTTCCAGCTAAATATCTAATCAGATTGAGTAGCTTACTCACAAGCATCTTCCAAAGGCAGGTGAAGTTTCCCTTTGGAGGCAGGCGGTTCCTAGCTCGTGAGTTTGGGGGGAGAGAGCCAGTTTCAGATGTTAAGGCTTCTCTGTCCCCTGCCTGGCTGCTGCGTCACCTCATGGCCGGAGAGAAGAGCCCGCCTCCTTCCCCGTCCTAACTTATATAGCCCCTGTGACCTCATTCACCTGGGCCAGCGGAGGTCAGCCCCAGTTGGCTGTCAGCCAACCAATCTGAAATGCATCACCTGTTACCAGGCAGATCCCAGCTCCCCAGGTAGAAACCCCTTACCCAGGTAAGTGATGCAAGTCACGTAGGCAGAGGGAGCAGGTTTCCCCCTCCCTCAGGAATGCAGCCAGCTCCAGTTCCCTAAAGAGGCAGGCTGAGGGTGTGGTCCCCTGTGTGCCAGGCCCACCCTAATTGAATGGTCACAGCACAGAGATTTAAATCACAGTGTCACAGGGCAGAGATTTTTGGGGAGAAACCAAGGTGGCTTTCTGCCACAGCCTCCACATAGGGCTCCCAGCTGGAGTGCCAGGAACCCTGCAAAGATAGAGGTACAGAGCCTGCCTGGATTAAATTAAGCAAAATGATGCAGTTATGTGGGGTCATATGTCTTATGCACAAAATTGCATGGGCACATAATTGCATAATTCCCCAATGTGCATCTTAGGATGTTTTAAGGGAGTTCATTTGTTAGTTTGTGCTGCAGGCTAACTAGCGTGAAAGGAGTTCTTTGCTGCTCTGTCTAATCTTGAGAAGGGGGGAAAGAGTAATGCTAACTCTCTGCTGCTGTTTTTCATCAGCAGCTGGAGTTACTTTCATTGATGCTCCTTCTCCCATCTCTTCTGGAAGTTCAGAAAATACCTCATCTGCCATCAGCCCTGCTACAGACAGTGGCATGGAGTTATCTTCCCAGGCCACGTCCAAGGAAGACCTTACAGATTTAGACCAGGTCAGCCCTTTGGGACTTAGCACCGCCATGCCTTTGGGTGATCCCAAGGCCATTGATCTTCTACCCCAGACTGAACCCCAGGTATGTGCAGAATCCCATGGAGATATGACAAGTCCAAACCAAGCTGTTTGGTCTCTTGCTGAAGATGTGTCTATTTTTGCAGCTTTCCTTTGGGTCCCTTGTGCAGTGCTAAAGAAAGAGCTTAAAGAAAGCTTAAGAATTTTCCTTCTTAGTATAGGGTTACACAATTTTGGTACAATCATGTCTTCATGCTTTCTTCAAGACTATTTGTCATTAGCACTGTCAGAGGATAACTGTGGTCTAATACAGCAATTCCTGTGGAACTGTATTACTTCCAGTATTTCCATTACAGCAGCCTTAATTAAAGGAGTAGCTAATAAAGACAAACATGACTGTGGTCTGAAGATCTCTTGCTTATTGTTTTCAGTACCTCTAAGGCATAAAAAGAACCAAAGGAGTAGATGGGTTGATTTGAGGAAGGATGAGGAAGTAGACACATTTAAACAAAAAAGCTGGTAGGAGGACAAGAGACTACAAATACTTTGCAGGGTGTCAATGCCAGAGATGGACAAGAATTGTTTAATGTAGTCCAAGAGCAGATGACTAGACCTGATGTGGTAGGAACTGATATTATAAATATGAAAAACTCACAAGCAGTAAGAGTTGTTAGACTGCAGAAGCATTTCCCAAGTAAAGCTCTTATAATGCCCTCAGTGGCAGGGCTTTAAAACCAGGTTGAGGCATGCATTGGTTAGAATGAAATGGAGTACAAATGGCTGAAACAGTCTTTTTTGTCTTGACTCCTGTTCAGCTCCCTCGCAAGTTGTCAGTATGGCCATCTGACTGAATGAGTCTGTCATGTTGCTGGTGCACTGTTATCTTACACTTGTTTTGATTTTATTTCTTGCTTCCCAAATGACTGGTATGACTGAAGGATGAAAGTCTCAGGGTGGAGAAGACCCAATCGGCCTCTGTGGAATCCATCCCTGAGGTACTAGAGGAGTGCACCTCTGTGGCAGAACACTCTGACTCTGCCTCTGTTCATGACATGGACTACGTCAATCCCCGAGGCGTACGTTTTACACAGTCCTCCCAGAAGGAAGGTGAGAGTTGTGAAATGCTGCCAATGCCCTATTAGTCTGTCTCTACCCTACTCCATCCCTTGTCTGGAGGGAAATGATCTTCTCTTCCTGAACTACTATCTGTAATGGTTTGGTCTCTGCTACCTAATGGGTAGCTGCAAAAGATGGGAGCAGAACTGAGGGCTCTTAATGTCTCTCTGGCTGTTATTTTTCCATTCAGGAACAGCACTGGTCCCCTATGGTCTGCCTTGTATCCGTGAGCTCTTCCGCTTCCTTATCTCCCTAACCAACCCTCATGACCGCCATAACTCGGAGGTGATGATCCACATGGGGTTGCATCTGCTCACTGTTGCTCTGGAGTCAGCTCCTGTGGCAAACTGTCAATCTCTTCTGGGACTTGTGAAGGAAGAATTATGTCGGCACCTGTTTCAAGTGAGTCTGGCCTCTGGTGCCCCTGCGTGTGCTGCCAGTGAGTTTCCCCGTGTGCCTGGTGTAAATTTTGATAACCAGTACATTGTCCCTGAGATCTGCCATTTTGGAAGGGGAAGTGATGTTAGTTGTCACCCAGGATCACAGATCTGGCTTCTCCATAGAGCAGTGGGAGTAGAGAGTGTCAGGTAGAAAGAGGCCTCTAAGAATCTATGCAGGTATCTCTCAGGTTACCGCTTGCATGTGAGAGGGGATGATATCTGTACATTCACTGTCATCCATCTTTTTCCCACTTATTCAGCAGATGTCACTACGAGTTCATCCTTTCCCACAAATTCCTGACTGGGCACTAAACTGCCCTGCCCATTTCTCTTCAACAGTCTCCCAAATGAGTCTGAAGTTTAAACCCCTTCTTCCTTGGCCCTTGACTTTTGCTCTCCCTCAGTCTGACAGATGGAAACCTTTTAGTTGCCTTTCACCAAGGAGCAAAGGGAGGAAGTGATTTTAATGTGCAACTGGATTGTCTTAGTGTGTCAGAAGCTGTATGGCAACTCTCATGTCTTGACTTAGGGATTTATCAGAAACCCAATCTTCCTCAAGATTATAAGTGACAAGCCATGCAGAGGCTTGGGAGTAACCAGTAAGTCATTCTGTAAGTGCCATGCTTGGAAGCAATGTCTCACCTAGGATTCTAGTGACAGGGAGAGCCCCTTACTTCCTACAGGTATAGCAGTTTCAGGACAAATTAGTGCTGCCCAGAAGCAGTCCATGCATACAGGAGTAAAGGCCTGGTGGCAGCGCAGAGAAGACTTCTTCCAATAATGAAACCACTATGTGGAAGCTCCCCATTCAATTGTGGGGGGCTGGTGCAGCCATAACACTACCCGCTTAGGTAAATAGAGTACCTGAACCTCTCAGTTCTTGCATTTTTATTCTGTGTTTAGCTGCTGAGTGTGGAAAGGCTGAATCTGTATGCAGCCTCCTTAAGGGTATGCTTCCTTCTCTTTGAGAGCATGCGGGAACATCTGAAGTTCCAACTAGAGGTGAGTGTTCGGATATTACTTATTCCCTGGTAAAACACAGCTGGAGTTGTGGGTGTGCCAAAGAAGATAGAAGTATAGACTGATTCAATGGGATGCAGTCCAGATATCGACTAGCAAGGCATGAATAGCTGTATGAGAATTCTTGGGGCTTCTTTAGAACCCGGTCTTCATAGAATAGTAAAATGCCCTTGGAATTGATGCCTTGCCTTCCTCTTACAATTGTTTCATTGTTCAGTACACTGGGACAGTAGCATAAGGATGGGTGGGTGAGGGGGCATGAGCCTCAGGCACTGCCTTGCTGGGGGGAGGCACCGGGAGGGAGTGAGGCAGGTGCCTTATCCTCCCATACTCTTCCTCCCTCCCCTGCTCTCTCAACTTTCTTGCAGCAGCCCTGGCCAGCAAGAAGGGAGAGCAGAACAGCAGCAGCAGTGTCAGCGCAGGATTGTGAGAGTGAGAGGCATTCTGGAAAGTGGTGTTTTTGCTCCTGAAGGAGATCGTGTCCCCTTTTTTGTCACTGAAAATCAGTGTTTTTTGGCTGCTTGACATGTCAGCAATTAAAAAAGGAGGTCATGTGAACTCTCCCAGTGTCAGAAAACTGCCAGTTGCTGCTCAAGTTGCTTTGGCAGTGAACACCACTACTGCTTCACTGCTGGCATTTGGGCTAGAGCTGCAACCGCTGCAGAGAAGGGGCAAGTGCAGGATGAAGGGGAGATGGAGGGCTGCCCAGGGCACAATACTTGCTAGTTATACCTCTGAACTATGATTTACTTTGCCAAAAAAAATAGGCATCTTTTGGCTTATACTATTGGAACATACAAGAAGTTTTTCCATCAGAGCTAGCCTTTGCAAAATACAGACTGTTTTATGCTGTGAACCACGTGGGAGCATTGAGCTCCTGCATCTGTTGAAAGCTAGTTATTGTCCTTTCTTTCCTCTTTGCCATAAACTGAGCTGTTCTATGTTTCTGCCAGATGTACATAAAGAAGCTGATGGACATGATCACTGTGGAGAACCCCAAGATGCCCTATGAAGTGAAGGAGATGGCCCTGGAGGCTGTTGTTCAGCTGTGGAGAATCCCCAGTTTTGTCACCGAGCTCTATATAAACTATGACTGTGACTACTACTGCTCTAACCTCTTTGAGGACCTCACTAAGCTACTCTCCAAGGTCCTGAAATGTTTCTAATTTGTCCTCCCTTTCAGTTGGGGCTGTAAACTGCAGAACTTGGAATTGAACAGGACTGGGAGGGAGGTGTAAGTTGGGAAATGGAAAGGGATGGCTCTTAAGTCTGTGAAGGAGAGAAGAGCAAATGCCAGTCTTGACATGGGGTGATAAAAGGCTGGCCTTAAATAGATTTAAATAGTTAAGGAGGGCCACTTAATTTGGAAGTTTAAGGGAAAATCGAAGAGACTGCACAATGCTGGCAGAGAGTGCAGGAGGGATTAAAAAAAAGTTTGTGAGGAAGTTTTGTATGGAAAGTAATGGGGAGTGCTGCTGCATGTCAGGGTTTCCAGAGCAGTGGGAGAAACTTTTCCTCAGGGCTGGGGAGGTGTTTATAATGGAAATAATCTTATATTCAGTTGCTTGATTTCCCAGAATGCCTTTCCAGTTTCCGGACAGCTTTACACAACCCACCTGTTGTCTCTCGAAGCATTGCTGACAGTGATTGATAGCACTGAAGCACACTGCCAGGCCAAAGTGCTGAGCAGCATCCACCAGCAGGAGGAGGTGGCCAAACCCAGTGCAGAAACTGCCATTAGCACCAAAGACCTATGCAATAGTAAGACCATCCCTTTCAACATCTCCATGGCTGTCCTAGTTTTGTGCTAAAGCTACCTAATGCTTTCTTTTTGTAGCTCAGTTAACTTAACAAAACTATATTTCTATTCTCCCAGGCACGTGCTATGCTATTCTGTTTTATTCTATTCTACTAGGCACCTTTTGGCGTCTGAAAATGTGGTATAAAACCAGTGTATCAGAGGGACTCAGTCTTCTTTATGGCAGCTGAGTTCAGTGGAATAAGCCTACTGCTTGTCTGCAGATAAAATTTGGAGATGACAGGAGGTACGGCCTTATCGACTAGGCTGTCTAGATGCATCTCTGCAGTGGTTTTCTGCCCCATAGATGCTGTGACATCCTTCAGAACAAAATACAATTTCCTTTTAAAACTTTAGTGTGCGCATAAGTAAAGGGCAGAGCTTGTCCAGCTGCCCTTCAGTTCTTTCTTTGAGCCCATGGCAGCTGTATGAAGCCCCTGCAGTGTCAATCTGCTTCTCTGGGTACTGTGCCAGTAGTAGTAGCAATAATCACAGTGAGGTACTGTACTTAGTTTTACACTAGATCCCTCCCTGTGTGTATATTCCTCCATACCATTTATTAGCTGCAGCAATAAAGGCAAAAGCCAAATCTTTGGCATTTAAAACCTGTCCCTCCTGTGAGTTTCAGTGCTCTTTGATGACAAGCAGTTATGGTAGAGAGAGGGCAGGACATGGAACACACAATAGCTGCTTTTCATTTTTCTGCGACCTTTTTAAAAAAAGAAAGAACCCAATTGCTACCTAGTTTCAGGTAACTGTGTCTTGCATAGACATACAAGTTTCTTGAAACTAGGTAGCAACTGGATTCTTTCTTGTTAAAAAAAGGCCTCAGAAAAATAAACAGCTAATGTTTGAGAATGAATGAATTATTCTGAAGCTTTTGTCATCTTCTGGTAACTTAGCTTGCTTGCTTTATTTATTTTCCCCCCTCTCTCTGCAGACAATGACAGATTGCCAAATGAAGGGAAACCCCCCAGCACAGCCAACGAGCCATCCGGGGCCTGTCCACCTACCAGCGGGTGCCTTATGGCTGACCAAATGAAGCAGGGCTGTCTGGATTTGGAGGGAGGAAGTGATGCAGGTAAACACAGCAGAACCTCGTCTCTTGACAAAGCATGGCTACTATAAATGTGTTTGTATCTGGGAAGGGGGCTGGACTTGATGGAATAACAAAAATGCATGAGATTTGTCTGTAAAGTAGCATTTTCAGTAGATGGTCCAAGGTTGCCTGGGACTGTCATGGGGATCTTCACACACAGTTTTTAATAGGCAGAATGGAGCCACAAATTTTTAAATCTTTGCAAATGTGAAATTAGCAGGGCTGATGGAAGCTTCTGTTTGTCTAAGTGCTCTTGAGGGTACAGAACAGTGAGAAGCAGGAAAGCAGTGGGAGTGTTCAGCTGGTCGGTAGGCCTGTGCAAAGTGGCTAGTATTTGCTTTGGATTGGGCCAATTTGGAGGACAGTGATTTGATTTGATGATTTGAATCACTGTCCCAATTCGATTTGGCTGAATCTGATTTGGAGATTCAACAGCATCTGAATTTCTGAATCAGCTAGGCCAGGCCCATCCCCCGCCTGCTCTCCCACCCTGGCAATGGCTGCTCTGCCCACCCCAGCTCCTGGTACTTGTTAAAAAAAAAAAAGCCCCTACTCACCATGTGCTGCTGGGCAGGGCTGGTGATCCTTGCTGCCTGCCACTGGCCCACGCTGTGTGGGGGGCTCTGCATGAGCCCCCCAATCCCACCCCCAATCTCCCAGCCCCCCCATGGGTGCCTCGCCCAGGCCAGCTCCCGCCCTTTAAGGAAAAAAAAACCTGAAAAAACCCTCAGGCTCACTGCTCCTGCTGGCGGGGGGCAAACCCCACTGCCCTTCGCTGCCCCGTACCACGTGGGGGACTCTCCATGAGCCCCCAAGCCCCAAGGCTGCTGTGTGGAGAGTGTGGGGCAGCAGGGATCCACCTGCCCTGCCCGCAGCACCCGGTGAGAACTGGGGCTTTTTTTTAAAGTACTGAGCTGGGGCAGATGGGGGCAGCCATGGGTGGGGGCTGGGGAAGTGGAGGGTGGTCGGGGGGGCCTGGCAGTACTTACTGGTAGGGCTGTGCAAAACAGCACTGTTCTGTTTTGCCTTGAGTTTTGACAGTTTGACGGAACAGTGTTTCGTATTGAATTTCATTTCAAGTTGAAACAGCTGTTCCATTCTGTTCTGTCAAAACATAAAGGCTGTTTCAACACTGTTTCGAGGTTTCTCTGGAGATGGGAAATCAACCCAGCTGGGCTGAATTTCCATCCCCAGTGCTAGATGCTGGTAGGGTGGGTGGCAGCCCAGCTGGGCTGCTTCCTGGTCTCTCCCCATGCTAGATTTTGCCAGGGGCAGGAGACAGTCCAGCTGGGCTGCTTTTCCATCCCCACTAGATTGCGCTGGGGGTGGCGTGATCTAGCATGGGGAAGGGGAAGCTGCTTAGCTGGGCTGCCTCGCCGCCCCCTACCAGATCTTGTGCTGGGGATGGGAAGTTAACCCAGCTGGACTGACTTTCCATCCCCAGCCTATGGTCACAATGTTTTGACCAGCCTCATTTTGTTTCAAGGCTATTTTGATGACTTTTGTTTCATTCCAATTTTGATGTTTTGACCTCGAAATTGGTTGAAACAGTGCTGAAACTAAATGGCTGGTGAAATTTTGCACAGCCCTACTTACCAGCTCAGAGTCAGCTGGAGCTCCCTGCTGCAACCACTAGGGACTGCCTGAATCATCGAAGCTCTCCAAATCTTTTCTGAAGATTTGGAGAGCTTTGAAGCAATTTGGACCTTTAAATTGGTCTCCTGATTCGATTTGGATTCGGAGATTCGGCCACCAAATTGGGCCGAATCTCCTTCTAATCGAATTGCCACTCGAAGCTTCACACAGCCCTACTGGTCAGGTAGTGAAATGAGGAAACATGATTATTCCACTTGAAGAGGGGGCTTTGATGGCAGGGGGTAGCATGTTACTGAGAATGTTTGTACCATGTAGTGTTGTGCAGAACAGGGTGGCTATAATGATGCTGTCACTTTCCTCCATAGCTGAGAAGAATGTCTCGAGGAAGCCTACTCGCTTTTCCTGTCTCCTGCCAAGCCCTCAAGAACTGATGGAAATTAAGACCAAAAAGAAGGTACCGGGTGTTCACATACTGTAAAAGTGTGCTTAGACATCCTTCTTCCTCCTCCCTAACTTATTTACATTTGGGCTTGCCATGATTTTTCCAGCCTTTGAATGTTCAGTTCAGAACTTTGTTGTGTATTAGCTGAGGAGTTGTTTTTTTGAAGACCAAGCTGTATCTGATAAAGGGAGGCAGTGGTTTAAGGGAGATTTACTTGACCTTCTGTTTGGCTGAGTTCTGAATTACTGGAGATGCTGGGGAAATCTCATGCCGTAACTCTTACTTCGGGGCTTATGTAGATTTAAAGTGGTGTTGTCCTTGGCTCTGAGATTCCTGGCATTCCTGGCTGGAAGAGGCCTTTGGGGAAATCACTGGATGCAGTGATACTGGAGTGGGTCAGCACATCCCATGAAGGGGAAAGTTGTCTATTACTTTTACCAAAGCTGTTGGTGAAGCTAATTCAAGAAGCCACCATTGAACATGACAATCTGGCCAATTATGTGTTTAACTTCTCCTTTTGCTTTATGGTTTGAAAATGTAGTGTTCAGGCCACAGTTACAGTAGCTAAATACCTCTGTTTTCTTGACTGTTGTTAATCCGAATTCTAGTCTGTTAGTTTTGTGCAGAGACTACAGTAGCTTCATTATTTAGTGCTGGAGGAAGACTGAATGTCTATGTAGGTGTTAGATCGGTCCAGTTGTCCAGTACCAAATACAAGATGGTATTGATAGGCTTGGTGACTGAAAACTAGAAACCAGGTGAAGCTGCTGTCTGAGAGATCCTAACAGGTAGTGGTGGGGCAAGTGGTCCTCTTTCAGAAATGTTGTCAAGTGGAGCTGTGAGGGTTCCATCATCTTCCTCTTGCTTAGTATGTATGCAAGTCAGTGAAGAGGCCTGGTGAGAGAGCATGTCCTGAGAAGTTTCAACCTGAGAGTAATTGTCTGTGTCAGGTGAAAGAGGGACAGTGAAAATAGTTCAGGAAAATCAGCCAGATTAGCTGAAAACATATTTTTGAAGCATGTATTTGCATCTTATGTTGGCAGGTTTGCTTTCAGTGGTAGCCAAAGATGGCTTTTTCCAGTTTCTAGTTAGAAGACTGGAATGTTTTTCTCTGCAGCTGACATTCCGACAGTTCATACCACTGTGTTGTTATAATACTGTGCTTTTCTGGGGATGTTTCAAATTTGCTCAGAACCAAATTGAGTTCAAAACTATTAAAGAACGTAGGTTTGCAGAATATCTTGTAAGTAGCTTGTTAAAACTGTTCTTTGTGGCCTGCAGATTTGAGTGGAATTTATGGCATTGCTTCTCACCTAGGAAGCATGAAATGGCATGGACCATGCAATAGCTCAGATCCCCATTTCTTCCCCATATAACTGTGCTGCTTCACTATTGGAAAGGGAATTGTTGGCAGCACGTTCTCTGTAAGGACCCTGCAGCTTTAGAATTTGCTCATCTCTAAGAATAATCAAATGTATTGACCTTCCCATCTTGCTGTACAGCTGTTCTTTATGGAGACTTGTGGTGTGGAAATGTTGGTTTTACTGATTAGTATTTTAGGAAGGGTGGCTCATGTCCCTTTTGCTAGGAGATATAATTGGCTGTGCATCAGAGTCAGATTTTTGCCTTTTATTTTTTTTTTTTTTTAACTCTCAAGGGTTCCTGGGGTTATAGTAGGCTTCTCTCCTCCTTTCCGCCCTTTTATTTTTTGCTCTGTTTATCCAAATACTTTTAAAATATCTTTTTGCATTAGTCCATGTAGGGATGCACTTGCCCTTCACTGCTTCTGAAGTGTGCAGACATATCACTAGATTTTTATCCTCCCTGCACCCCACATTGCAGGATCAGCCTGTTCCATTGCACACTGAGAAAGTATGCACTGGCACACTTGTAAGTGGAGAGGAAAGAGGAGGTGTGCTCTGAGCTAGTATCATGGGAGCTAGTATCATGATGGTCACAAATTTAGTTCAGAGGTCATCACTGGCAGTTTCATGGTGATGGGAACTAACAGGCAACTGACATTTATTCTGGTGCTTTAGTAAAGTTCATGTAGCTGTTTGTGCTTTTGGTTTTTTTTAACACAAATGAAACCTTCAGTTAACCCTTCCTTAGCCAAGTGCATTTACTGAACAGTAGGCATTGCATAATTTAATACCTTAAAACAAGAATCATATAAGTATAAACAGCTAAATTATCTCTTTAAAGTAAATGGCATTTTATTTTTTACTATTGTCAACCCAGTTTACCCACCTTGACCTGCTGGAGCATTTTATGGTCATGTTGCTATGGCCCACCTGCTGAATGTTTTCTGGTTCTTTTTTCCAGTAAGCTCTCACAGTGCCTTTGGCTTGTGCCTGCTTTGTAAGTGCTGAGGCTGCTTGTTGCTTCTGCTTCTGCTTCTGTTGGTAGCAAAGAGTAAGATATCTAGTAGTCCAAAAATGGGATGAAAGTGGTCCTGTCTCCTAGCTACTACTGTAGCTAAGGAGATCTGATTTCCTGCTAGACATCTGGAGTTCATCTTCCTCCTGCTCTCACTGAATAACATAACCAGGGCAGGGCTGGGTTCCCCATGGAATCTGAATTAAAATGCTGTGTAAGACATAAAGTTATTATAAAACTATTTGTGCTTATATTTGCTCTTTTTTCAGTGTCCTCTTGTGGCTAGTATATCTACAAGCAGGGGGCTGCAGGTCTAGCTCTGGATGCTAGTTCTTGCAAGATCCCACAAGGAAAACAGCTTTGTTCTGTCCTGTATTTAGTCTCATTTTCCTCAGAGTGTTTTTTGAAAGATTTTTTTTACTGTGGCTCTTGAATTCCAAAAGCAAACCTAAGTAAAAGTCGAAATGCATTTCCATAGCGAGAGGTTCTCGGTGTATAGGGCTTGTTAGCCAAATTGGTAGCCGTTAGTGTGTCTCTTTCAGCTCCTGATAACTGGCACGGAACAGTTCAACCAGAAGCCAAAGAAAGGAATACAGTTCCTGCAGGAGAAAAACCTTCTGGCTACCCCCATGGACAACAATGAGGTGGCCAAGTGGCTGCGGGAAAATCCTCGGCTGGACAAGAAAATGATTGGGGAATTTGTGAGTGACCGCAAGAACATAGACTTACTGGAGAGCTTTGTGGGGTGAGTTTTTGTTGTTGTTGTTTTGTTTTTTTACACCTGCCTTCAGTTCCTTGTATAGGGCACAAAGGTGAACTAGGTCAGGAGATTTGTGATATCTAAGGGAAATGGAAGAATAGTCCATGGGATATGACCTGCTTGGATTTCACAGTGTTATGAATGACAGAGTCAGTAGCATATAGGTCCCACTTACTGTAGAGATATATGCCTAAAACTGTGTGACAGTTGTAATCATACCCAAGTGTCCTCTAAGAGGAGAACTGTCCTTCAGGGTAGTAGTGCTGCCACAAAGGCATTCATACTGGTGAAATGAGGATCATTCCCAATCTGCACTTTCTCTTTAAACATACTGTCAAAGGCTCCGGAGATGACTACCTGCATCACCAGCTAGTATGATCACCTCCTTCCTTGTCACCATGCTGCCCAGTAAATGGGGGGCCTTTGTTTAACTGCTCCATGCTTGTAAGCATTGCTCATTCCTGTACATTCAGCCAGTCAGTAAGTCTGTGAAGTACACCAGTGTCTTGTTTGTTTTCTCCTGCCTCCTCCTTCCTGCCTTTCGGTTTCTTATTGCTTTTCACTGTTGCTGCAGGACTTTCAGTTTCCAAGGTTTAAGACTGGATGAAGCATTACGACTTTACCTAGAAGCCTTCCGGTTACCAGGAGAGGCACCTGTGATCCAGAGACTATTGGAAGCCTTCACAGAACATTGGCGGGTGTGTATGGGAAAACAGGCTCTGAAGCTGTGTTTCATTCTCTACAGTTGTCTGCCATCTCTGGCATGCCACATCACAAAGTGTGTTAGAGCTTGTGGTGTTCCTCAGACAGCAGCTGTGCATCAACTTTTCCTCTGTGTTGGGTAGGAGTTGGGATTTCTGCAGTATAACCTGGAGCTTGGTGTTCTCTTTTCAGTTTGCCCATGGATTGGTCTAATGCTAGCATGACAGTCATGAATGTGCATATTCCCAGTGGATCTGAATTGTATTTCCTTTGACTTTCAGAAATCAAATGGTTCCCCATTTGCTAATAGTGATGCCTGCTTTGCACTGGCCTATGCAGTTATTATGCTGAACACTGACCAGCACAACCATAATGTCCGCAAGCAGAATGTCCCAATGACCCTGGAGGTGAGCGTCAATTCCCAGAAGCTGTTACATTGCCTTTCTTTTCTCCATTTTTAGTAGCAACAAGAACTGTTTTCATCTTTCCAGCTTGCTCTTTCTGCTTTTCCTGTCCTTCCTCCATTTTGTCTTTCTCTTTCTTCGTCACTGTCCAGTATACCTTGGCAGTGTTTGGGGTTGAATACATACAAGAGAGAGGAAGTGTGAAGAAATTAAAGCTAAGTAGTAACGTGCAGGGTCAGGCACAAAGGTTTGAGTTACTGTTGCTCTTGTACAACTTCTTTACTACTTATATTGTCATCATAAGACCTAATGAAAGAAGCAAAATAAAATCAATTGAGTTAAGAAATGATGCTAATCCTATAAAGAGGTGGTAAGTTAGGGAGCTCAAATCATGCCTCTGACTGCTTGCAAATATTAAAAAAACATGCTTTACTGGAAGAAGCAGTGTGTTACTTTGACTGGGCTCCACAGTGTCTGTATAGATTAGGTGCTTCAGCAGGGCTTTTTGGCACTTTTATCTAAAGCTGAGTCAATTAGCTGTTAGATAAAAGTGCCAAACAAGCCCCACTTAAATGCCCAATCTATACAGATGTCAGGTGAGCTGGGTCCAACTAAGGTGCTGCCTCTTCTGGGTATATGCTGGGCTCAGCACAAGAGTGTGCTAAGTTTAAAGCAAAGTGCCGTTTGGTTTTTTTTAATGTCTGCAAGCAGCCTGTGTCCTGATATTGAATTAAGATATTTGTCACCCTGATGTCCAGTCCAGTTGCAATAAATCACTTATAACATCAATGTGATATCCCATTGTAATGTCACCTGTGACCCCTTTCACTGGCAGGTGAGCTGAAAGTTGTTGGACACTGCTATGCTACCAATAGGATTATTTAGTGCACCTTGTTATGCTACATTGATCAGCACAGAGAGAACACTGTGGTCAGAGTTTCTTGCATTTCCCAGGAAAGGCAGGCAAAATATTGATCCAGACCCAATGAGTCTGCAAACATTTGGGTTCCTAAGTTGGCAACTCCCACACAAGGTAGGTAGATCTTTTAACATATTAAGGGAATCACTTTGGTGCTAACTGCCATGTTTCTAGGAATTCCGGAAGAACCTGAAGGGGGTGAATGGAGGAAAAGACTTTGAGCAGGACATTCTGGAAGACATGTATCATGCCATCAAGTAAGTATTCAGCCCTTTCTCACCTCCTTGTACTCAGACCAAAGCAGAGTTTTTTTGTTCTGTGAGACCTTTGGAGGACAGTGCAAGACCCATTCACTGATCATATGCCAGTTTGCCTCAGACTACCTTCCAGCTCTGCCTGGGGCTGTGGTAATGAGGTCTTAAGAATGATTACTGCAAATTTGTATCTTTGGATCCTGGCCATGGTATTTTAATTCACAAAACTTAAGATAAAGTAAAAAAAAAATACATGGCTTCTATCAAAGGAATAGCAGAGTGAGTGCAGCATGTGTGAAATGTTGTAGCTGAGAAACCTCTTTCCTCTGGGTCAGCTTGAGGCTACATTAGAACATATGTAATGCCAGAGACTCCATTGGCACTCCGAGATAGCATGGCCAATCTGGGACTTGAATTCTGCTTTTGGACCCTTTCCTTTATTTTGTCAAATGAAGTAATCAGGTCTGCTATCCCTAGGGCTCTTGGCACATAGACCACTGCTTGGGGGAATTTGTGACTGTTGAGGCCCTTTTGTTCACATAACTGGCTGTGGGTGGAGAGTTTTAATAATAGCTTAGAAGTCTATCATATTCAGTAAATCCAGGCCCAGCCAGTTTGAAGTGGAGGGGGATTACAGCCTGAGGAGGCAGCTCTGATTCTTAGCTGGCTTCAATCCATAGTTGCAGGCAACAGTCTGCAAGCAGAACTGGGTTCCTAGGCTGGTGCTCCCCTTCAAGCCTCCTCTGGAAAGAGAGTCAGGTTGTCACCTGGGCTAAGCACCTAGTTCCTCCAGAGACAGCTCTAGTTTCCATCACTAATTCTTCCCTAATGGTATTCTCAGTACTTCAGATGGGGTTCTGACAATCTAGTCAGCACTTTTGTTCTATAGTGCCTCTATCCAAACCATCCCCTCCCCCTCTGATAAAATGGATCACCTAATGTGGTCAGTCCATAGCCTAGTCTTGTGTCTGTGCCAAGATACCTTGCCTCTTATTTACAAATGTGCTATCAGCACCACAGTTAAGTCTATGGGCAAATGTACCTTATAACCAGGGATCCTAGATTTCTCTGATTAAAAACCTAAAATTCTCTGATTAAAAAGATCCAAAATTATCTGATTTAAGCCCCTGAACTCTGTGTTTTTCCACAATTAAAATGAAACACCACTATATGTGTGTGTGTGTGTGTGTGTGTGTGTGTGTGTGTGTGTATATAGGTATCAGTTGAACACAATGTTTTATTGATATATTTACAATTTTAAAGCTATTTGGAAGCCTACCAGTGCCACAATCATTATAATAAAATAAATTCTAAATACCTATATATTCTGGGATTTAATTTTGGTTTTTTTAATCATGGAAAATCAGAGCTCCCCATGCCCCCTTTGCTCACCAGGACATGGGTCCAGCTGTGGCTGTCCCCCTTGCTGCTTTGTGGTGCTGAGCAGCCCTGATATACTGGTGCTCTGCCCCTGCCATTGCCCCTCACTCCCAACCTGCAGCCCCTCCTTCCCTGCCGGTGCCCCTCCACCCCAGGCCCCAGCCCCCCCAGTGTGTGGGGAAGTGGGGGAGGTATGTGGGGAAGGGGGATGTAGGGCAGGGTTTGTGTGTGTGGGACAGGGGTATATGGGCATAGGCAACACCATAGGTGATGCACTGGGGGAGAATGAGTGGGCATGTGCCCTTCCCACAATTTCTGCACCCACCACAGGGCACAGGGCTGCAGCCTGGCTAGACTGGAACTAGGCAGCAGCCCCCTCTGTGGCCTAGCAGGCGGGACCCGCCACAGGAGGGCAGAGTGGAGCGGGGAAGCTTGGTGCCGCATCCACTGCCTGCCAGCGCATGGCAGGGGCATAACTCCGCGCCATGGTGGCGGTGCCTCATCTTGGCTGCCATGATGGCCCTGTGCTCCCAGTGGGGGCAGTGGCAGCACTGAACCTCCCCACCCTGCTTCACCCTCCCACTGGGTCTCACTCACTGGGCCATGGAGGCAGCTCCTGCCTGGTGCCAGTCTGGCCAGGCTGCAGCCCCATGCCCTGCTATGGGTACAGAAATCTTTGGGTGCACATGCCCCTCCAGTGCATCACCTGTGGACCCGACCCCTCCCCAGCTTCCCTGATATTCACCCCAGGAACAAGCTGCCCGTGGCTCTGTTCTGCTCCCTAGCCAGGGCCCTGTAGCTGCACATTCCTTCCTGGTCTGGCCCCAGCATCACCTCAGCTGCACAGTGCCCTCAGCCCCAGCTGCCAACCCTGCCTCACTCCTTCCCTGATCATGCTGCTGCAGCTACCTCAATCTTTCCATAAATTGTGACCCCCTACATGTTACCTATGCTTCCCTCTGCTTCTCCACGTTACCTATGCCCCCACCAGAGACTTACCTGCAGGGAGCTGCAGGAACTGCTCTTCACCACACTGCCTGGCTATATTGCTGGCCACTTAAATGTATGTGTGCATGCATGCACGTGACGCCCTTGTGTAACAGCATTCACACTCCAAAACTCCAGCTCCACACCCCCACCAAAGCAGTTAGGGAGTGTGAATACTGTTACAATGGGATTGTTAAATCTGCATGGTCCTATAGTGATACAGATGAGCTAAATCCCAGTATCTTTAAAACAGCTGGATTCAGGGTTAAAGTTGTAAGGGATTGGTTCTCTCTTAAGGCTACTACATGCAGCTATGACAACTGCAGTGTAAACAGTTTATACCAGTATCATTTGATATTGAGGCAGTTGTTTATATATGCTTGTACTCTGAGGCCCAGGTGTCAAACTTGTTTGGCCCTGTGGGGACCAGTCTGCAGATTGGATCAGGCCCACTGACCCCCTCCTCTTCCCCTCCCTGCTCAGCGTACCTCATCTGGCGGGCACTCCATCCAAGCTAGCAGTTCCGAGACTGTTTGCAGGCACCACATGCAATGCACTACATGCACCGTGGGTCCAAGACCAGCTGGAGTGGGTACAGTATGCAGCAAGCACCAGGTGCTGCCCAGGCCAGCTGGGGCAGATACTGCATGCAGGGTGGCTGTCGCTCTGATCAGAATGTGCTGCATGTGGTACCTGTTCCAGCCTCTCTGGGATCCATGCTGCATGCAGCATGGGTCCCAGATTGCCAGATCAGGCATGCTGGGAAAGAACAAGGGGGGAGGGGAGTGGGGTACTTGGGCCCAATCCAGACCGTGGACTGGCCCTGCATCATGGGTGTGTACCATGCCCCAGGTGGGTCTGATCAGACCGAGGGGCAGCACTGAGGGCTGGATAGTGGGGCTCTGTATATTTGACACCCCTGCTATAAATTTTGTGGCATTTCTTGCCTTTAAAACCGGTATTCAAATTCTGTCACATACAGTGAATGTCACATGGCCTCTTGAAAATCACAGCACTTATTCTAGGTACACAAGCTAAATTACTGAGAATTTTGAAGTAAAATTCAGTAGTTCATTTGTCTTAAAGCACTCTTTTTTTTATTAGTTTTAAGAAGTATATCATTTGGTATCAAACCTTTGTGCCCTGAATAATCTCAGTCAGCCCTAATCTTTTCAAGCTTTCCATGCATTTGAAACCTAGGGAAATTATGGTTTATGCGTAGGCCATTTTAATAGTTTTTAAGTGGTCCTTTTTTGTTGGTGATCTTTACCTGCTGAAGAATAAATTTTTACATATAAAAAATATTCTTCAGAGGACTCCACAAAGACCTGTCTACTTTCAAAATGACTTCCCTCCTCTAATCCCAAAAGGACTATGGCCATAGTTTGTCTTCAGTTAGGTAGTCCCCATTCTCAAAAGGACCATCTTCCATTGTTCTCCATTTAACTTTTAATTTGGGATTGCAGATTTATATCAATACACTTGTTGTGATTGTATGATTACTCCATAATCTCATTACAGGGTTGAAGAAGAGTTTTGAATGCCTTAACTTGTTCAGATATCTTAAATTAAATCCAAAAATTCAAAATTGGGGTTAAAAAGGGTTGGTCTTTGTGTACTTACATTATCTGTAATATTTTTACCCTAGATTACTTGCATCTCATCTCAGTTGTGCTAGGGTATTCATTTAGTGTTGTGCTTGGGAATGCTTGAACTATCTGAGTGAAAGATGAACAGGGTTTTATAGGGAAAAGGAGGCTGCTTTGTGTTGTTCCTTATTGTACACAGGCCAAAATTCCAATCTGGTGACAGCAGTATGCCCTACATTCCCCTTGTGTATGGTTGCATATGGTTTCTTTGCTACCTGAACTATGCTGTTATATAGCATCACTGAGCACTGTTAACAGATGTTGTGTTCCACCTCCAAGGTGGGGGGCATTCATTTCAGTAGCTAACCAAGTGTCCCCACTGTGTGTGCTTAGGGACCCTTATAATGAAAGGCCTTATATAAATGTTAGGTTTGGCGTAGAATGAAAAATCTAACCTTTCCATCTCTATCCCTGTTAGAAATGATGAGATAGTGATGCCAGATGAGCAGACAGGCCTGGTGAAGGAAAACTACGTATGGAATGTGTTATTGCATCGTGGTGCCACTGAGGAAGGCATCTTCCTACACGTGCTTACTGGCAGCTATGATCACGATCTCTTCACCATGACCTGGGGCCCCACCATTGCAGCCCTTTCTTATGTTTTTGACAAGAGCTTAGAGGAAACAATCATCCAGAAGGCTATCTTTGGCTTCAGGTAACTCTCCCCACTCCCACAGAGGGCTGCTTCGGTTTCAGTCCATGTGTAAACCATCTTTGTTTTGGCTACTCTCTTGTCTTGGAGGAAAGTATGGCTGTTGCCTTTCCTGGAAAATTAGAGGAGTTTTGCTCTCAACCTGCTCTTCCATATTGCTGGCTGATGTTTTTTCTTTGGGCTTACCTTGATTTAGTCCTCTGTTGGTACCACTGAATGAATTTGTGGCTCGTCTGCAATGTTACAATACGTTCAAGTGCTTAAGCGTAGTTTAAATTTAGGTCTGGTTTATACTCCGCTTTTTCATTTTTTTTTTTTTTTT